CCTTTGACCTGACCAAAAAATTGACCGAAGTGATTTCCTCATTATTTTTGACGCTCTTTCGAACGCCGCCTTCCGCGTATCGCTACGTGGCCCAGGAGCCGAGTTAGAAGGGGGGGTGTTCAAACACCCCCCCCCCAGCAGGGCGTGGAAATCCAGGACCCCCAGCCGGGCGCGGGTTAAGCAGCGATAAACCGTAACTGCTCATATTGTGTATGTACATGGCTATCCACCTATAAGATATTATACCGTCAGGATGAAGTGTCCTCACCTATATTTCAACTTCATTCCCGAGCCCGGAGCCATCTTGATCCGATGGGGGTGGCAACTCCGTTCAGTTCGCTGCAGTGCGGCCGGGTGCGGCGGGGTCCGTCTTCGCCCTCTATCGTTCTGTAATTGAGTGTCGACTTTGATCATCAACTAAACCCATCACCGACCCACGCTGCCACCTCCGCGCAGACGAGCCAGCGAACAGAGACCGCTGAAAAACCGGCACACGCCTGAACGGACAGACAGGTCGACAGAGCAACAAAGAGTTGGACGAAGATAAGCGCGGGGATAACCCAGACAACCTACAGGCGATGTTGTCTGACATTGTGAGCCCAGGCAGCTGCTGAAAGACGTCAGCAGACTGCAAGAACGCCAGGAATGGGGGGCAGCTGTGGAAAGAACTGACAGGCTATGACTAACAGAGACAGGCGAGGAGCAGTGATGTTGATTTGCAGGGAAATGTAGATAATCGGTATAAAAGCATTACGTTCAGCAGCGAAACCGTTAACAGCGATGCGACAATCTAATGGTGACATTTGGCACAGCGCTTGTAAACTGCCAAACGACCCAATGCATGCTGACATTTGTATATGTAGTATAATGAAAGATCGACGAAATCATTTTCCTTTTGCAGGTCTTCCTATTTCACATTATTTTCAGCTGCGTTATTAATGCTTCTTTCGTTGACAGTTATTTTCTTGTTGTAATTGAGGGTTGAAATGTGGTTATTGAAATCGGGAAGAGTTAATGGTGTCATTTATTATGTTTTGCAAAAGCGCGAATGACTCAGAAGATTCCAATAACAATTAAATATTGCATATAAAGGGACAGGAATCTACTGAAGCCAGCTGTGCGGGCAGTTGTGGTCGATTTAGAGCGGCAAATGGCGGCGTGGCTGTGCTCCCAGACCGCGAGTTTAGCTGCTGGGGGCCGCAAGAGCGCTGCACTTGTCCGATAGACAGCGGGTCTGTGAGACAGGCAGACATACCGACGGACAGACTGGCAGACGGACAGACGGACAGACGGACAGACGGACAGACGGACAGACAGACAGACAGACAGACAGACAGACAGACAGACAGGCAGACAGGCAGACAGGCAGACAGGCGGACAGGCGGACAGGCGGACAGACATGGAGACATACATACAGGCATCGTGCCTGGCGGGCGGACAGGCAGACAAACAGGCAGGCAGACTTGTTAGTCATAACTCAGTGTATTCGATCTTCATCTCTTTTCAAATTTATTGATGTTTATTATTATTCATAATCAAAACACCAACCAAGCGTTATATGTAGGGAGGCCCTATTTCGTTAACCTGTACGTTGTTAGCACAGAATCAACAGCTTTCTAACTCGCACAGAACAAAACGATATCCGCCATGCCTCGTTACCGTTTCCCAGAAGCGGGTGCTACTATTTGGTTCCACTGATGACCAGGTATGACGTCATTGTCGGTCTCTGAGTACACCGTCAACTGCTAACAAGCACACGTCCTGAACACTGCGCAAACGGCCGATGGCGTCCCCGTAGCCGGCGAGCACACGTCGACGGCTCGTTTGTGTGTCCAGTGTGGTATTGACCTGTGCCAGTTGGGAACACGGCCACCTTGTTCGACACAAAGTGCGGCTGGAATTGGGGCGACCTTGTTCGTTACCAATTACGACGACTAGAATTGGGGCGGTCGAGGATAAAGGTTAGGACTTGCCGTCAAATCGGCAAAGGATGATGGGAAGAATCGTCGTCTGGTTTTGTTTTGTTGTCCCTCCGGAACACAAAATTTCCTGGTGCACGAGCCACGATGGCTAGTAGATATTTTTGTCATATTGGTTGTGGAATCTTTTAAAATTGAAGTTCATCATCGCTCTAAGGGCGTAAGAGGGAAAGAAGGACGAAAGAAATAAGGCTAGAGAGAGAGAGAGAGAGAGAGAGAGAGAGAGAGAGAGAGAGAGAGAGAGAGAGCAAGAAAGAGAGAGAGACAGAGAGAGAGAGAGAGGGAGAGAGAGAGAGAGAGAGAGAGAGAGGGAGAGAGAGAGAGAAAGAGAGAGAGAGAGAGAGAGAGAGAGAGAGAGAGAGAGAGAGAGAGAGAGAGAGAGAGAGAGAGAGAGAGAGATGAGTAACATCAGACTAAGTCTGCTAAAGTTTTTCCTTTCCATGAATCAGTGATCGCATTCGTTTTTTGTTTCATCACGGCAGACTAGCCTGCATTAGACACTGTGCATCAGAACTGACGCTTATCCAATGATTTTCAGCTCTCACACTGTTTCATGAAATTCTCTTCGGTGTTCGTAATGGAAGTTATTGGAAAGAGAACCATAGATGGAAGCGGATACGGATTTTTTTTTTATTTAGTCGGACCTCTCTCCAACGGGCTCATGTCCCAATTATAGGAGAGAGCACCTGCTCCTCCCTCCGTCCTATTCCCCACCCCCCAGGCTACGGCTGAAGTGGGAGCCTACCCCACACCTGGTGACGCAGCCGAGGACGACGCCCGCGGAACGGGCGGAACCGGGAATCGAACCCGAAACCCGGCACCGCCCGCACCGCGGGTCGACGCCTTAACCGACTGCGCCACCAGGGCCGCAATTACGGATGCTGATGAATTTGGCTGCTTGCATCGAGAAGAAAGGAGTTTTGATACGCATTTTACGCCTGATACTCGCCGTTGAAACTCGCTTACGGGCTATATCCATGATTTCTGCACGCATAGGTAATAGGTACGAGCATTGTCTATCACATGCATACTGATACGAATGATCATAGAGCCTAACAAGCTGAATCAATACCCAGTGGCCTTCAGCGACCACCTCGTTACGCCGGCGATACCTACCCTTTGTATCTGATAGGAGCGGTACTAACTATCTTGGGCTTCAGCGAAAAACAGTTTGTCATCCGCCTTGTGATTTGGATCATCAACTGCCTGGAGCCAAGATATCATATTTCAACACAATAAAAGTGTTATTGGATAGGAGACGCACACAAGATGACCATAAAATTAGTTTCCATGCGTAGATGTGATAGCTTTTTGGCGACAACTAAGCATTCTACATCAAAATGGAAATCTGCCACCCACTGCTGGTTACCTCTATGGAAACTCTCTGTTTGGACAGACTGCAACATCAACCTATTGGTTAAAACATTCCGGATCGGGCGTCCTTCTCCAGCGCCACATAACGCGCGCGCTCGATGCGACGTGCGGCCGTCCATTGCGGCTGCGGATCGTATTGCCCACAACTCTGAGCCCACTCGAATCCGATGCATGCGACTGGAATTGCCAATGAGATCGGCATAACGTTCAACCATTCGATTCGGCTTACTAAGGCTGAGATATTGATCGGATCTCTATGGTTTCCAGCCGCCAACTGTAGCCCGATGTACTGGACAGAACTAACGGGTATTAAATGAAGTATGTTTGCTCATTTGTGACCCCTCACATGTAGTTTCCGACAGCGCGCAGGTGTTAGGCGAGCCGTCATTGTCGATATGATCGGTATTTGAAATGGCTGCCGCTGTCCTAGTTTCCAGAAGCAATTGTTTTTGACTGCGAATTGCGATGATCTCTCAAATATAATTTTGTGCGTTTTGCTCAACTTGGCGAGGACATGTTTCGTGTAAAATGTCTGCGGCTGCATAAGAAGGATTCTGTTATCATATATCGGGCTATATGACTCTAATTGGGCTTGTTGCGCTGGCTGGCGCTTCAACAAGACGTCATCGATCGAAAGAGAGAATCTGCTAGTTGGGAGACTGAAGTCGTTCACAGACAGACGAGACAGGCAATGCATTAGAGGGAAAAGGTCCGGTGTTGGAGGGGAAACTGGTGATGTTGGAGGGGAAAGGGTGATCTTGGAGGGGGAATGGGAGGTGTTGGAGGCGGTACGGGGGGTGTTGGGGGAGAGGCGTTGTTGGAGGGGAGACTGACCGTGTTGGCGGGGAGACTGACAGTGTTGGAGGGGAGAGTGATGGTGTTGGAGGGGAGACCGACGCTGTTGGAGGAGTTAGGGATGCAGCTGTTCGGAGAAATTTTTAGGGGAATGATAAAACGAGCGATGCTGGAAGGGAAGGTAGATATGTACCCGCATGTATTTCTACCCCCGAAACTGCTTAAAGCCATCATCCATCAAAAACAATCACACTCGATCTCCCAGCAATTGTCCGACATTAGTGAGCAACTGCTAGCTCAAAACAGTTCGATAAGGGTTCCGAGATACATCGCGCCAGTGACGATGATTGTGTTGTGTTCAGAGGAAGTCCTGATCAGTGTGTGCCCGGTTCTGACTGCTGAGTGCTGCTGCCGGCCAAACGGGCATCGGCGGTCCGAGAAATGTCGCCGGGTACGCATCGAAATGCTAACATCGTGGGACACCGCTGGTCAAGCTTTACTGAGTAAAGGCTGTTTGCGCACCTATAAGGCACTAAGAACGTCCCGAGACGGTTTCGAATGAGCGTGAATGCGAGGTTTACAATGCTGTCGATACTTCACTTGAATGCTTCTTTAGTCTTGGATACTTTTTATGTGATATTTTTAACACCTCTATGCTCATACTCCATCACATGCCCAGATTATGTCAAAAAATTTACCGTTAGCTCAAAATGTCATAATCTGATTTTTAGTCAGAAACCAAATAAACTAAAGGGATAAGCATGTTGTTATCCATAAAAACCTCCATCCCACAGTTCTTCTGTCAGCCGGCGACTGAAGACTGACCCGAGCCGGTGTCTGTCGCTGTTTCAGATCGCCTGCAACAGTCTATTGTTTCTGTGTGTCAACCTGGCCGGCATCTTTACTCATTATCCGAGCGAGCTGGCCAAGCGGAAGGCCTTCCTGGAGACGCGCCAGTGTATCGAGGCTCGACTGGTGACCCAAAGGGAGAATCAACAGCAGGTAACTGTAGATGAACCATAAGAGAGTGAACGTAAATGGGTGGCTATGAAGGATGCGAGGCTGGGTGGTGGGTACAGCAATCAATTGTTTTTTAATAAGCCGTGAGTGTGATGTCTGTGGCGTGAAGGAATTTGGCAGAAACACGGCTTGTATTGGCAGGGGCGTCGCCACGGCTCCCCAACTTGTACGGACACACTCTGTCAGCCGTAACACTCGTCAGAGGTGTAAACCCACGCGGGCCCGTGGAGGGCATTTTTCGTCCTCCTCCCCCCACCCCGGACGAATAGTTGCGATAGCCCCCGAATGCCTAGGGGCTTCGGAAAAAAATACAAACACATTTTTGATACCTACATTAGGGTAGATGGCAGGTCAGCGACCCCGAGCTGCGGCTTTTTTGCGGAGTTCTTCAGCAAAGAAGGTGGTGCCAACGCATTAGTCATATCAAGATGCGTCGAATGACATATAGTTAGGTTGTTTGAAACGGTCAAGTCTTATGTTGACCTCATGTGACTTCGAATGGCCTTTAGTTGACTTTTGCACATGATCAGTCTCATTTGCTGTATTTGAAGTCGCTGGTCACGATTTTGTCATTTTCTTTTGCTCTAAGCATTCATTTAGTTTAGTTAGAGTCTCAGGATGACAAAAGTCACAGAATTATTATGGCTGACGTATTAGTGAATTAGTCTATAGAATGACACAGAGTGTAACGAAATTATCCGCACACCTTTCTTTCTGCTGTAATTAAGAAACAAACAACCTGAGGTTGTTTCCCTTTGATGATGATATAGCCACCTTTCATAAGATCATATTTAGAAATGCCTAGAACATTCCAGCTACTGGGTTTTTAAGCACAGTGGGTTTGATGTGGACCAACGCCGTATTAGCATGTGCCTACTGCCTACATACAGTTGCTCTGTCCTGGTGCCGGGTGTCCCCTTATTAACCTCTTGCTGGACAAAAGTCCATAAGATCTCGATGGAATTAGGATGAAAACTATTTCCAAGCCGTAGTCCGTTAGTCTAGAAGGATAAGAGCTTCTCCCGGCGTCACTTCTCATTCTCCTACGGACTAATTTGTCTGACAGGATGTTGCTCCGGTAATACTCGTCAGTCGTCACTGATGGTGGACTCTTCTGTCAATGGGTTGGTCAATGCACAGCTGGAACATCGGACAGCAGCTGAAAGCTAAATATGCTCCAGATCTGGATCTCGGCCGCATGCTTAACGCCGGTGACGGCCGGGACGTTTGGGTTACTGGCAGCCAACACAAGGACGCTTTGACGGTTCAAAGGACAATACAGCGCGAATAGCTGCCCATTTCACCACACCATGCCTTGCTTATGTGTTCCTTCGACCAGTGGATGCGTCTTGGCGTGAGGCTAAAGGTGGTGCACCGGCTATTTTCCCGTCAATTTTGTTGTCTTTTTCAGTATAATGAGCAGAAGAACCAAGGTCAGGGGCGGATAGCGGTGGGTCATGATGTGGGCCCTCTTATCATCGGTCTTGAATTCAAGTCAATCTGCGTTGGCAAAGGGTGGCTTTTGCGGTCGCAGCCGGGCTGAGTTCACCAATCAAGTCTCAGCTTATTACGCCTCAGGCAGATGTGCAGTTGGCTGCTGCTGATGTCCATGGAGCTGCTGGCAGACCAGCTTCAGGCTCATTGCCGCAATGCCACAAACATGCTTCCTAACACAAAAGGAGAGAGTGTGCTCCTTGCTGTCCATTGCCTTTGACGAACACTAGTAATCAAATGAACCCGTCGGTGACTCGACTAATTACTCAGAGCAAGAGTCAACTGGCAAAGGTAGGTCTTTGCTGAGTTGAGAGCCGATACAGGAGGCACTTATACAGCCAGTATTCCCGCTTCTAACATCAGAAAAGAAACTGTGCGAACAGATATGACGAACGAATATAAGTCCGGATAATTTATTTACACCCTAAATGCTAGTAGTAAATACTCTTGCTTGACATTGACTTTGGGGCTGCCTTGGATCGTAACTTTACCCACAAATAGGGGACTGATAAGCGTTAAGCTACTTCAAAACATGTGCAAAGACTGTTTTGCAGTCGTCGAAACTTGTACGGACATTCCGTACAAGTTTTCGGGCCTTCCAAAACTTGTACGGACACTGTCCGTAGTGTCCGTAGTGGTGGCGACGCCCATGTGTATTGGTGAGGTAGGTCAGTACTAAACGAACCTTATGGCTATATTTATTGCTGGTGTAGTGGTTTATTACTGCTGATATTGCCTCATCGTGGTCGTTTTCGTTGATTTAGAAAAATGGGCCACCGAGAGTAGCTGGGAGAGGAGGTGACCGGCTACACAGGGCCATGTTTGTTTATATGTTTGTTCTTGCCATATCAGCTCGGCTATTTTCTATCAACCAGGACATGGAGTTAACCAGGACATTTTTTAACCGAAACATTGAGTGCATGTGGCCAATTATGTGCTTGATTCGTGTGATTAAATGAGTTCACCTATGTTTATGGCCTTGGGTTTAACCATGCTGGCAAGCAGCTATAATGCAAGCAATCAATAACCTGTCAATTGTTACACTTCTTCAATCGGCAGTCAGACATACGTACTTTATTTACGATCACGGACGACTCGGCGTTACGTAAGAGTCTGTTAAAAGCTAATCATTGCCGCACTGCCTGTGTTATTTATCTCCTGTTTCTGTTCCAGGAGCGTCTTCTCTTGTCCGTGCTGCCTCGGCACGTTGCCATGGAGATGAAATCCGATATCGCCGGGCAGCAGCGAGACACCATGTTTCACAAAATATACATCCAGCGCCACGACAACGTCAGGTATTTGTGCCATCCCGGGGGAAGTTGTTCATGTTAGGATGTGTTAGTGCACTGTGTGCCCGGTGCCACCTCTCGGCGCACTGCTGGGCGCGCCACTGCGGACCGCCTCCCGCTGGGCGCGCCGCTGCCACCGGCGGCGCGGGGTCACGGCCGCAGCCGGGGGCGGCGGTCATTCTGGACCTGGGGCTCGCCACGCGTGCTGCTGCTGCTGCTGCTGCTGCTGGTGCAATACCTGTATTGAGCACCAATACACGACTGGTGGATACGCTGCCTGTGGCCTAACATTGGCGCGGTCAAGGTAAGCTCATTTACGCTCCCTACATTTAAGTGATGTTCGGTTAAACGGTAACCGCTTTAGCAGCTCCTATGTTATCGATTCACGATACATGAGCTTTTAACCTACGACCTGAAATTTGGGAAAGTTGCAGTCGTTTTTGACACGGCTTTTGCTGATTTCCGGTCGATTATATGTAGTTGGTGTATATCAAATCACGCTGAGGCACTGGCAGCGTTTGCAACTCATTAGGCACAGATAGCGTGGTCGTTTACGACACGTTTTTTTCAAATTATCTGGTTTTGTTATTGCATAACGTATCGTTGGTCGATACGATGATGGGGCATATATAGCGTAGTCGTTTTACGACACGATTTTCAAATTACCGGTTTGGTCATTGCATACCGTATCGTTGGACGATACGATCATCTTTATTAGTCGTCGTTCATACACTGCCCAAAATGTCGAACGAACTGTACTCAAAAATCCACAGCACAACAAAATTTAGCGGTCGCGAGGAGGAAAATTGGGAAACGTGGATTTTCCGTTTTGAGACGCGTTTTGGCGACTTGGAGAAGACAAAACTAGCAACTGCCCTGCTCGACTTGCTGGATGGTGCTGCTTTGGACATTTGTGGGAACTTGGACAAAGGAGCCAGGAGCGACTACAATGAACTTAAGGGGGCCCTACAAAATAAATTTGGATCTAGCTGCGACACGCGACGGGCTCGGGCTAAGTTGCGTTTTATCCGTCAACTGCCTGAAGAGAATATAGAATCATTCGCTGATCGCGTCCGAAAACTCACAAGCCTGGCACACCCGGGGTTATCCAGTGAACAGGTGGATCATATAGCGCTAGATCACTTCCTGTGTGGTCTGAGCGATCTTAAGCTTCAAGAGAAGCTGCACAATGACCACACTGTGCTGTCGCTTCAAAAAGCGGAGGAAGTCGTCCAGAGACTTTGGGAAAAGGACCTCACTCTCGCCGTTATGCGGGCGTCCGCTGGTCATGACACGACGGTGGCAATATCGGCTAAAGAAACGCAACCCATTGAGGGTGGACAGGCACCAGATATTCTGACTATCCTTGGAGAACTCCGGAGTGAGTTGAATGAAATGAAAGTCCAGGTGACCGAGCACTGCAAACCAACCGACAGTAAACGAGGCGTTTGCTACCTGTGTGGCGATACCGCCCATTTCAAACGCGATTGTCCGCGGTTTTCAAACCGACAGAAACGGACAACACGGTCCGTTGCCCCGAGGGCAGCACCGAGCGCGATTCCGCCCGGTATTCCCTGCCAGGGTTGCGGAAGGCACGGCCACGCGCTTCACGAATGCTGGAGAACGCCAGTCGCAGCAGGGGGCATCGCTCCCTCGAGCCCCGCACGCGATAATTCTGGCGCTGTTGGGAACACTACAGCAGTGCCTGGTCAAGAAGCAAGCCCCAAACGCGCTTCAGTGATCAAAATCGAGGTCGAAGGACGCAGTGTATGGGCCCTCGTTGATTCCGGAGCCGATGCGTCAATGATTGGACAAGAATTCGCCCGAGCGGCTGTACAGAAAGGAGCGTCCCACAAAGGAAATTTTGGAACAATAACGCAGGCAAACGGGCAGAAAATACAGGTCAACACACAAGCAGAAGTGTCGTTCTCGATACAAACCTCGCAGTTCATCCAGCCTATGTTGGTCATTCCAGGCTTGATCTACCAGGTCGTTCTCGGCCGAGACTTCTGCTGCCAGCACAAAACAGTGCTAGATGACAGGGCAGGGGTTTTCAGAGTGGGGAACGTCGAGATTCCTTTACCAACATATTCTGAGTTACGACCGCTACGAGCAAGGGTGGTCACTTGTGCCTCAGTCACCATTCCCGCTAGGTCTCAGACCCTCGTTCAGGCCGAGGTCGAGATCCCAGATGGAGGCGTTAAAATCACTAAAGAAGCGACTTGGGAGGGTGTTCTAGAACCTCATTCAGTTGAGAGCAGCCAAGAGTGGAGGGTCCCTCGTTTAGTTACAGAAGTGACGAGCGAGGCAACCGTGCCGATTCAGGTCGCCAACATCGGGGGCAAAGCAGTAACGATCCCTCCAGGCACAGAAATCGGTACACTGTACTCCATTCAAGAAAATGGCAAGGGTATGTACGACGTCCCGAGCTCTTCAGCGGCTTCAGCTGAACTCAGTGCAGGGACGCTCGATGATCTCTTAAGCGAACTCAAACTCGAGTCTACTGCCCTTCCAGAGAGTGGCAAGACCTTGCTAGCACAACTTGTGTCACGATACCAGGATATCTTCAGCACGGGAGAGTCCGACATTGGAAAAACAAAGCTTCTACAACATCACATCGAAACTGGAGGCGCGGCTCCGATCCGACAAAGGCCACGACGGATCCCAATGAAACTAAGAGAAGAGGTGGAAAGACAAAAGGAAAAGATGTTGAAAGAGGGAATAATCGAGGAGAGTTCCAGCCCTTGGTGCTCACCCATCGTTCTGGCCAAGAAAAAAGACGGCAGTTTCAGATTCTGCGTCGATCTTCGAGCAGTGAACTCTGTCACCCAAAGTCTGCCAGTCCCTCTCCCGAGGGTGGACGACAGCCTCGACAGCCTCGCGGGGGCAAGCCTGTTCTCCACCCTCGACATGGCCTCAGGCTACTGGCAGGTTGATGTCGCTGAAAAAGACCGAGAGAAAACCGCTTTCAGCACGGGAAAAGGCCTGCACCACTTCCGGTCCATGCCTTTCGGCCTCAAGAACGCTGGAGCCACGTTCCAACGACTGATGGAACTAGTGCTGGCTGGAATGGACTCAAAAAGCTGCCTGGTGTACATAGACGACATTATTGTCTTCGGAAAGGATCAAGACGATCATCTCAAGAACCTGGAGGAGGTCTTCCAAAGGATCAGGACAGCAGGGATGAAACTAAAGCCAAGGAAGTGCTGTCTAGCCCGCGACGAGGTAGTATTCCTCGGACACAAGGTGGGGAAGAGCGGTGTGGAGCCAGACCCAGCAAACATAGAGAAGGTGCGTCACTGGCCTCGACCACAGAAAGCCGAAGAGCTGAAGAGTTTTCTAGGGCTCGCAGGATACTACTCGCGATTCGTGCCCAACTATTCTGACCTCGTGCGACCCATCAGAGAAGCTGCTGAGAAAAAGGGTACTGTAGAATGGACTGAAGAGCTGGTGGAAAGCTTTGAAAGCACTAAAACGAAGCTGACGTCGGCGCCAATCCTCACCCTGCCAACCTGCAAGGGCGAGTTCAAGGTTGCAACCGACGCCTCCAATACTGCAGTCGGAGCGGTGTTGACGGAGACCATCGACGGCGATGAGAGGGTGATCGCCTACGCCAGCAAGGTGCTCAACAAGAGTGAACGTCGATGGCCGACGTATGATAAAGAACTTTGGGCAATTGTATGGGCTATTAGACATTTTCGCCCATATTTGGCTGCCACAACGTTCACGGTGATGACGGACCACAAACCGCTCAAGAACATTCCCCGCTCGATCAATGTCGACGGAGACGCCACGGGACGACGTGGCAGATGGGCTGTCGAGCTGAGTACGTATGACTTTAATGTGCTGTACCGAAAGGGCAGTGATAATGGAAATGCTGATGCCCTGTCCAGGCCAGTAGTCGACCAGAAGGAGGAGGAAGTCAACGAACTCATGGCCACGACCCGTGACGAAGCCATGAAGGGAATGGACGTCGAAAGCTTACGGCGTGAGCAAGAGCTCGATCCGGTCTTCGGTGAGGTCCAAAAGTGGCTAAAAGCAGGTCACCTCCCTCCAAGGAAGGAATTGAGAAAAAGAAACAAGAATCTGCGTACGATGGCTCGGTTGTTCGACCATCTGACAATGGAGCAGGGTGTCGTGAAGCTACAGCGTCGTGTCGAGGGAAAGGAACCGGTGTTACTCCTCCCTCGAACGTACCGCGACGTTGTATTGAAAATGCTGCATGATGATGAGACCGCTGGGCACTTGGGAACCGCTCGAACGCTCGAAAAAGTAGAAACGAGGTTCTTCTGGCCGGGAATGTCGAAAGACGTCTCGCACTACTGCGAATCCTGCGAGGTCTGCCAGCGCCGAGGTCGCCCGACACCAAAGATGCAGGCTGCGCTGCGAACAGACAGCTACTCGAGGCCATTCGAAAGGGTGGCCATCGATATCACTGGAATGCCCATGTCTGCGCGTGGAAACAGGTACGCTCTGGTAGCAATGGACTACTTTACCAAATACGTCTTCACCTATGCCATGCCGAACCAGACCGCTGAGACCGTGTCCGAGTGTCTCCTCGACATGGTACTGAGACAAGGAGTGCCAGAACGACTCCACAGCGATCAAGGGCGGCAGTTTGAGTCTGCAGTCTTTCAGTCCCTTTGCAAGCGCCTTGGCATAGAAAAGACTCGGACTTCACCGTACCGGCCGGAGAGCGATGGCATGGTAGAGCGATTTAACCGCACGCTCAAAGACATGACCTCAAAATTCATCCAGCCACTTGGATCAGACTGGGACGATCACTTGGCATCTCTGACATTTGCTTACAACACGTCCAAACACTCGGTAACAGGGTTCACACCGTTTTTCTTGGTACATGGACGCGAAGCTCGATTGCCAGTCGACGAGCTGTTCGGTGCAAGCCGCGACCTGTCAATGGTCGATACCTATGTCGACAACAAGCTTCGTCAACTCAGGGTTGCCTACGCAAAGGTACGTGAAAATATCAATGAGGCCGCTTCCGATATGACAGAAGCACGGAGCGAGTCATCACGAGAGATTTCATACCTTCCAGGTCAAAAAGTGTGGGTTAGAGATCATACTGCCAACGTTGGAGGCCAGCAGAAGCTGGCGCTCTACTACAAAGGTCCAGCGACGGTGGTGCAAAAACAGGGTACCGTTGAAGAAGGTGTCACTTACAGGATCAGAATGCCGGGAGGAAAAGAGACAAACGTACACCACAACCACCTGAAGCCTTTAAAAGCGAGAGAGACGCACGTCCCAGATGCTCCTCCGGCGATCCGAAGCGCCAGCAAGGGGCAGTCCGACCAAAACAAGCAAACTGAGAGCAAAGAACCGAGCATGGTGTTAGAAGCGGACAGCTCGTTTCCGACCTTCGCGTGGATACCTGAGGAGACAGCCAGCGCACAACAACCAGGACAAACTTCGAGTCCATATGTCACACGATACGGGAGGGTATCCCGGCCTCCGTTAAGGTACCCCGATCTGTGAATACGCTTGTGAGTGATTGCATTTAATGTCATTGTCAATCCTTCAGCATCTCTGTGCAATTTGCCGTAGTAATATTCATAAACATACACACGTCAGACTTGTTCGGTTGTGTGTGACCAAAGTGTGCGACATGTTCTGAGCTAATGTGTCATCGGCAGGCCTGAACCTCGAGGGAGTGAAGCGCGAGTTGGCGTCCCAGCGCTGAGGTGCAGATGCGGCGCTCGATTTTCGACGCTGTCGCCGGCGCAGACGTCACCAGTACCAGATGTCGCCAGCGCAGACGTCACCAGAGCGGACGTCACCAGCACGAACGTCGCGAGAGCAGACGTCACCGACTACAACGCCGCAGACCGAGCAGCTGATGCCACGGCTGCAGCTGATCGCGGCCTTGCCGGTGGTCGAAGCAGCCGTTTCATCGCGGTGCTTTACAGTGCAGAGAACAAGAGACATTTTATTTAGGGGGGAGGTGTGTTAGGATGTGTTAGTGCACTGTGTGCCCGGTGCCACCTCTCGGCGCACTGCTGGGCGCGCCACTGCGGACCGCCTCCCGCTGGGCGCGCCGCTGCCACCGGCGGCGCGGGGTCACGGCCGCAGCCGGGGGCGGCGGTCATTCTGGACCTGGGGCTCGCCACGCGTGCTGCTGCTGCTGCTGCTGCTGCTGGTGCAATACCTGTATTGAGCACCAATACACGACTGGTGGATACGCTGCCTGTGGCCTAACATTCACAAACATGCGGCTCTGTGTGTACGATGTTTCGCCTATGTCTCACGTGACCTGCTACTCAATATACCTAATGTTGAATGCTAGAACGGCTTCGTATCTGGCCTGTAACTGACCTCATGGCTTCATTTGTGTTTCAGTATAATATTTGCAGACATTTGTGGCTTCACTGCGCTTTCTGATCAATGCACAGCAGAGGAGTTGGTCAGACTTCTGAACGAACTGTTCGCCAGGTAAGCACTGGACGTGTGTGCGTGTAGTGTGTAGTCCGACATAAAAAGGCTAAGATGGAATAAGCACTACTGTGAGATGATGTTTTTCGTACTCCAGCGTAGATGGGTAGCCATACGGCTTCCACGGTTGACAGTGATGACATCAGGTCATCTTTTGCAAGCTCGTTAAAGACAACACCTAAGAATAAGCACTACTATTATTCATACGTTAAGACCAATTTGAGTGTTGTCAATATGTGGAAACTATTTTGACCATTAAACGGTTTCTTTTTAACCGTTTATATCGTGCATTTTCATGTATGTTTTTGCATTTCCATATTTTCAGTGCATTATTATATCGCATAGCGTCTTCTATTTTCATCACATCATGACTTCGGAGACTGCATGTGACATACGCCTTCCAGGTAAAAATGTAGCTAATCATTTCATTATTTCCCTCATGGACTCCTATTTAGTGAGAGACCCTTGGAGTCCATTATCCCTCAGGTTGTCCCCTCCCCACTGCTGTTGCCAGCTCTGATCGTCTGTACGCGCCTTCAGACACGTCCACTGACCTTCCGTTTGACCTCAGGTTCGACCGGCTGGCGGCTGAGCACAACTGTCTGAGGATAAAGCTGCTCGGTGATTGCTACTACTGTGTGTCCGGCCTGCCCGAGCCGCGGCCCGATCACGCGCACTGCTGCGTGGAAATGGGACTCGACATGATCGAAGCCATTGCGTGAGTACCCCGTGATAGAGGTGGGGAAGGGGCTGAAAACGCGCACTGCTGCCTAGAGATTGGACTCAAACTGATAAAAGATATGACATGAGTATTCTGATAAACGTGGAAAGGATGCGGACGAGAGCCATGTATCTGAGATGTGTTCAGAGTGGTTTTTGATGTAAATGTCCTGAGATGTTACTCAAAATCAGCCGATAATTGACATCTGATATGCTGCCTCAGAACCATTCACATCTCCCGAGACAGCAGGTTCTTGGAAAGACCCATTTACAGGCTAGAGTTGTATATTCCAAGATGAAATACGATCGGCTTACCTGAGCTGTGGTGCCGTATCTCGCACTGCTCGATTAGCTAAGTAGTGACGAGGAATTTCTGTTGTCGACCTGTAATCACCTTCCTCGCCCACTAGCTCCTGTAACGTCGGGCCAAAACATGGCGCGGTTATGGTCCATTTCGATGCGGCTGACTGCTGGCGTGACGAAATCGACCCGCTAGAGGTGGCGGGGTGGTTTCCGCGTCAGCCTCTGAGAGTGTTTTATGAAGGCGCCATGAGCTCGAAGGGTCAACGGTCAATCATTCACCGGCGCCGCGGGCGTCACGGATCAGGGCAGCTGGGGTCACAGGGGTCAGTTCACTGAGAGACCCGCGAGCTGCAGCGGGCGACGCCTTGTGGGACTGCTGTGGAGCGCAGTCTACTGGCCGAGAGTAACTCAAGTGACAGTTTGATTGTCATCTAGGTTGTAAGGATTATCGAATAGCAATTGCAGTCAGTAGAGAAAGACATCACCAGATCATTATAATCATCATCACTCAATACCATCGTGTTCATCGTAAGGCCATCACCGTAGCGTGATGACTGGCTCAATGAAAAGATGCTAGTGGCATATCATGAGAACTAGAGACTGAGCTGTGGCTTCGAGAAGCCATTATGCCCGGATGTGGTGGTGTAATCGAGGGCATTGCCACAGCAGATTCTTTTAGCCAGGAATGATGGAGGCTTTCTGACGGTCGCATGCACAGAGGCGCACTCGGTGTGCCCTGGATATCAGGTCTGCAGTGACATAGGTAACATCGGGGAAGCACACCACGCTGACGTGTGTAGATTTTGGAATTCAATGTCATTAGAAACGCTGGGCGCCTATGTGTAAACGTCTGTGATGTTGTTCTTTTTTATCATGTTTTTTACTTTTTTATTATTCATACCTAGCTGCATATTTTCATGTGATTTTATGCTCATCACTGTCATTTAGCGTTTTTATTACTATTGACTTCGTCTGTAACTGGGTGCTATGGCCTGTAGACGATCTACTTAATACAATACAATACAATACCATACAATACAAAGACACAAGGAAACGGTAATCGTTGGCACAAGAGTGCAGTTTTCTTCCTCTTATGGAATTATTTCGTCATTCCCTTTAATGTATTGTGTCTATTCCGCAGCTTATGATGGAATGCTTTCAAACGCATTGCACTGAAGTAGGTAATAATCGTCGATGTCATCATATTTTTTTTAGAACTATTTATTACCATTTTTAAAAAGTTTTACGCAAGTCGTGCCCGTAGGCCTATGTATGACGGAAATATTTTAAATATTTATCGGTAAATATCTACCTAAGCAGATCACTACCCTAGGGCTTTTGACCAAAGTACCCTTCCTAATGCATTGCCAACACAAAGCCTTTCCATCTCACTAACAAAGTTATGCAATGCGCATAATGTCTTTGTAATTGTTTGCCTACCAAGTAACATTTCTCTTGCTTCAGCCCAGAGCACTAGTGAATAGATGCAAACGATAGTGACATCAAACGATGTCAAAAAGGCACATTCGCTTTGATGGTATTAATTCTGCGGTTGCTAGGGTATTTCATTCCTCGATATATTTGCAGAAGGTGAAGTGTTATGGTCGGATCTCATCTCAGGTGAGAGCTGCCGAAACAATGGCTATATCTCGGCCCTTCGATCCGGCTATATCGGCACTTCAATCCTAGCCTGCTTAGAAACTGCAGCTGAGCGTGAGGCTTACGACCATATGTCAGGTCAACGTCAGTATACATAAAGGCCAAAGAAGTGTTTTTAGAATTAACTGAGTCTTAGTAGGCCACCAGCAGACGGATAGTTTCTAACATTGCACAGCCACAAACAATCAACTAAATGACAGCTTCTACATGGGAATAGGTAAGGCTAGGCGCAATGGTCCGATATAATATTTTCAGCACTAATAAAAAATACTTTCCATTTTCGTCTGTGCCGCACTACAGATTTTAGTGTCGATCCTGCGGTTCTTTCGAACCACTCTCCAAATGATGCTGGCTCGCCAGTCGCTGCCGAACCTGCAGCCACCGCCCATTCCCCATTCACCCCATTATCTATTCATCGAGTGGCGCTGGGCCGAGGCTCGCCCCCTGGCAGTTAGACCGGTCTGCAGAGGCTAACTGCAGACAACTGCCGAGCGCAGCTGCCTGGCACGACACCTGGTTATGCAGTGCCAGGGGAATGGACTTCGCACTTGCACCGAGCAACGTCGGATTGTGTTCGAATCATCAATATCCATGAGGGTGGTTGGGGTATGAATTCAGTTTGCTTGCATACTGCCATATTTGTTTTAGATGTAACAAACTTATCAAACTTCTTGTTTTACCATAGATATTCCTGCAACCTACATGTACAATGCATATGCATTAGTTCGGCGGATTTCCTAGAAGGTAGGCAGGCATCCTTCTCAGCTATATGTAGCGTAAACCAGCCTGTTCCAGCGAGCTGCCCTCCTCGAGTGCTCGCGAGACATCCGGGCCCAGCTCGTGCGAACGCTGTCGTCTTCTGTCCAAACAGCGGCCGCTGACGTCACCGTCATTGTTAGCACGTGACTCGCCGGGCCAGTGACGTCACAAACGTCCCCGGAGATTGTCCGTGCGATGCTCACAGCCTGAGCTGCGTTCGAGATGTTTTATTACGGATTGGGCCACCCACGCATAGATATTACTCACGTCACCATTGGTGAATTAGCAAAGTTCGTAAAGTACCGTGCTTAATAATTTGCCTGTGTAACTATTGTGACGAACGAACATTCAACTTGGTCAACTGGCGGTCCGAAATATACATCAGAAACTCTGCCGGCACTCTGCCAAACTAGAGCCCCCCCCCACACCCCCCACACCCGTCACCACGTCACGCGCGGTCACCGCAGCCCATTGCTGTCGGGACTCGGGGCCATATGTCGGCGGGCCGCTGCACTGTGGCCAGTGACTGTGACATTGGTCAAACTGTAACCTAATGGGACGCCATGGCCGACACTTTGGTCAGAAGCTAACTCCATGGGCCGCCCCAGTCGACCGAAACGCACATTACTCAGCTGTCAGCAAAGTGAATGTGAGCGACGGGCTCATTTGGTTCATTGTGGTCATTCGTCTATGGTTTGTGGCTTTTTAAGCGATTTACAGATTTAGTTTGCTTCATAAACTACAATCGTTCATTTAAGATCTCCCTCCCCCTCACTCTCTCTCTCTCTCTCTCTCTCTCTCTCTCTCTCTCTCTCTCTCTCTCTCTCTCTCTCTCTCTCTCTCTCTCTCTCTCTCTCTCTCTCTCTCTCTCTCTCTCTCTCGTCTCCATTTGCTGTCATTACTGACAATGCCGCGTGTTCTCTTTTTTCAGTCTCGTTCGTGAGGTGACGGGTGTGAATGTGGATATGCGGGTCGGAATCCACACGGGCCGCGTCCACTGCGGCGTCCTGGGACTCAGGAAGTGGCAGTTTGACGTCTGGTCCAACGACGTGACTCTGGCCAACTACATGGAGTCCAGCGGCATACCGGGGTAAGTCACACCATGGGGTCCAGCGGCATACCGGGGTAAGTCACATCATGGGGTCCAGCGACATAACGGGGTAAGTCCCATCATGGGGTCTAGCAGCATACCATGGTAAGTCGCACCATGGAGTCCGGTGGCATCATATTGCGATTTATCATCACGAAAGAAGCAAATGCTCCTATCAAGTTTAGCAAGAGCCCATCGATCCATATATTTAAGCTTCTCGGAAAGCCACACATTTGGCCCAACATTCTTCAGTACGTATCAAACAATATTGGAAATATCTGGGACATCTCTTCTCTAAACAGTGACAGACACTCACAGCACATGAAATTATCGATTATTTACTCGTAGCCTCAGTGCAAACTGTGTCTGGTATGCTTGAAAATTATTGGTGAAATGATCAAATGTTAACCCTATTCCTGGCGGGCTCCGCCGGGACAAGAAACTGGCGGGGGGGGGGGGCCGATTCGGCCCCCCCCTGAGATCTCGAGAACGAAGCAAGATAGCGACAAGCGGTAAACGGCATCGGATACGCATGGACAAGGTCTACAATTTTTACTAAGGTCATTTTCAGGTCAGGTCAAAGATGACGTCACAGGAGTCGAAAAAGTCAAAATGGCGGCGCTAGATATGGAGAGAGTTTTTCTCGAATAACTTTCGAATTAGTCAAGATAGGAACAAACTAAGGGCATCATCGTGATCCTCTCGTCAATCCGCATCGAATGATATATATGTTGACCTCGAAAGGTCAAGGTCAAAGGTTGACCTCAGGTCACGTGACCTCGAGGTCATCATGTATATCATTCGATGCGTCTTGACGAGCTGAACACAATGAGACCATCCACGCGTCTGTAGCTTGTTCCTGTACGGAGTTATTGGCCAAAAACCTTTGGTGACCTTTGATGACGTCACATGACCTCACAGCTGCCCAACAGCAAAACAGACCTCAAGGTAGTGAAGGTTGATCGTATATGAAGTCATGTATGGTATATGGGGCCATTCCGACCCGTTTTAGTGGTAAAAACAGGGAGTTGATTTTTCCCCCATTGACTTATAATGGGGAGGTCGCGAAATTGACCTGACCTTAGGTCACCGATATCAAAATTCCGAGATATACAAATTGCACATACTGGTACCCTAACTAAAGCCTGAAGAGAAGAAATTGATCGGTCAAAAACTCTAGCTCTGGCGTGATTGCAAACTTTTCTGAGGTAGGGTCACCAAACCGCCTCTGGTGACCTGACCTGAGGTCAGATCAACTCAAAATTTTCAGACATGTTGCGTAGAAGCCTTATAGGAAAAGTCAGAAAATTTGAGCTTCCTAACTCAACGCGTTTGGGAGATATAACCAAAAAACCTCAGGGGGGGGGGCTCCTGAGGCCCCCCCCCCCCGCCAGGAATAGGGTTAAGCCACTTTACCGCCAGTAAGTCGATAAAACCCTTCTAACTTTCTCTGAGCTATCGTGTTACGGCGGGCTCTTCACTACTGAAATGGTTTCAACGCCGAGCAATATAAATTTATCGTGGTTGAGCTATGTGTAGGAATTAGCCAAGTCTATGATGTATTGTGTAAGAAAAATATGAATATTCGCTCAAATTAAATGCACATATAATGAATGAAATACATCTTCATATGTCAAGCATTGTCACCATTTCCCACCGTAGGGCCTTGTTCCCACCGTCACCGCTGCCACCACCGCCGCGGTTTCCGCGCGCCTCTCTCTCCCCTCCCCCCCTCCCCCACCCACCATACCCCGGCCGTCTCGCAAACTGTCCTGACCGAGCAGCTAAGGTCAGATAACAGTGTGGCGACTGTCGCCCGCGACTTGATGTATGAGCTCCGCTGATTGGTTGTCGGGGGGGGGGGAGAGGTCAGACGGCCGAGGCGGCGGGCGCGTGTGTGGCCACGACGGAGCGACCAGGGGGCATGCAGTTCACTGTGAGGCCTTAAAAGCCGAGATAAGGGAATCGGCGATCGAAAAAATAAGTAAACTGCATGCGATTTTTTCTAAGACGAAGCATTATAAAGCCTAGACTATCAATATCAACCTCAAGTAATTGGAATGATATCTTATGCAGAAAAGGCTGGCAACTGCATGTCAGCTCTCGATATTCTGTCATTATTAACCCGCGCCCCGTAGGGGGGGCCGAAACGGCCCCCCCTGTCCTTTTCGGTCGATATCTCCTAAACGGCTGGAGATATCGCCACCAAACTTTCAGGACCCCTCCGGGCATCAATTTTACACATTGTGACCAAATATTTTTCTAGAGGCTATGATAGGTTGGCCACAAATGACGTCAGAGTGACGTCATGTTCTGTCATTTTCGACCGAAAAAAGACCTTCGCGAGAAGACCTGTCAGGACTACAGCTTTGAAGATACAGAAAAATGATCAAGACATAAAAGGTGTAGAATTGACAGGGCTACAAAACTGCTATCTCGAATTTTTGAAATTCTTGAGTTTTGACCCCCAAAAATCAAAAAACATGTTTTTAGATATATTCTCCAAAAAATCCAAAAAGTTTTTTGAGTTTCGAAAAAACCGGAAAATATGTGATAGTGCCTACCGTCTTCTATCTACATACCAAATTTCAGATCGATACCTCGCTTTTTGGCCAAGTTATAGCGAAAAAATTGTTCAAAAATGATGACGTCAAATTTTCAAACTCAATTTTTGGCAATTCTAGAACTCGTAGAGCAAAACGAAGACCACCATTAGACTCCCCGTGACGAGCTGCATCGAATCGATACCCATTTTATGCAAAATATCATTTTTGAAATTTGACCTAATTTGACCTGACCTTGACCTGACCTTCACAAAAACGTGACCTAGGCTGGCCCCAAAGGCTCCCTAACCCACATAATCGCATTTGTCATGTAAAATGGACCATAAAACATGCATCACACGACACATTCATATTGTGACCCCCGGTGACCTGACCTCGCTGTGACCTGACCTGGTATCAGTGACCTCAGATAGCAAAGTATATGTTTGACGAACAATGCACCATCGATGGTTTTCAATAAATTACCAATTTACTCGCTTTCACAGCACATTTCTTGAATTGCCTGTGAACGGTGAAAATCTGACCTTTGACCTGACCTGTGACGTCATCGGTTTGACCTAGGTCAATGAAATTTGGTCACAAGGTAGTTCCCGGGTGGGGCTATCGAACGCCGTTTGAATTTTGAAAATCGGCCGGTAACTTTCCGAGATCTTAGGGGGGGGTCGAAACGCCCCCCCCCCCCCCCTACGGGTGGTAGGGTCCGCCGGTAGCCCTACGGGGCGCGGGTTAAGACTCAGGCAGACGTCCACGAAATGGCAGAAGCATGACTGGCTTTCAACCGATCCCACAGCGCACTTGAAAGTCATTATGGACGTTTCAAACGTCTTACCTCCGTCATCAGCAATCAAGCTCCTCGATTTTTAATTAATCTGATATTTGAGTCGTTGCAATGCTGAATCACCGCGAACTTAACACGAGTAGCTGTAGTGGCCGGAGAGTTCCACCAGTTTCATGTAGCCTTCCAGCAGCATCACTCTGCAGGATATGGCGACAGTCGGCACAGGTCTTACTCAGAACAGGATAAATTGGTCGGTTGATTCCCGATGCCCGGCCGGCGCTGTAATTGAATCGTTCGCTGAACGCGATCTAATTGGCGTCTACATTGGAGTGTTTGGGTGTTTCTGCGAACCTGAAAACGGCACGTCAATAACGCGCCCTTACACCCTTGGGTGAACAAGGCACGGGCCACGTGGTCCGATGTGGAATTGGGGGACTGACGTGCAGCTAGTGACAGCGTTGTCATCTGCGGTAGAGTAACGTTGATCTTTGTGAATTATGCCTATAGTTCGTTTTTTTTTTCAAAAGGACGCTGGCTCCAAGTATGTTTTTCGAACAACCACGTGTTTTAGCGAGCAAAACGGGCAAAAACTGAACCTGAGAAACTCGAACGTCGCCTTATTTTAACATGTGAATTATTCCCGATAAATTCCATGCTTGCGTTTTGGAACTATAGTCTGTTTTTCGTATCTTCTACCTTCACTCAAAGACGGTAAACTCTCTTATCACGTGCTCCAGCGAACATCTAATTAAATCAACACTGGTGCAAAGTCAATTTTTATCTCGAACGCAAGATCGAACGTCTGTCCCCTTGGCCTATCCCGTTAATCAAAATGCGATGTTCTTTATCAAGTGAAATGCATTTGCATAAAAAACGTGACATCATATTTTAATTCTGGCAAAATTATCCCTTTCTAATTTCATTATGTTTTCAAACAACAGAAGGGCAATGGCCTTGGTCTCAGACAAGACAAAATGATCGTAACGTTTTCTTTCAACGTTTCAAAGCAAAAGAAATGTGGTTTAGGTGACTGAAATAAGGCGGTGAAGAAGGAGCACAACCAACGAATATCGTCAGAATAAAGAACTTACTTCCTTGGATACCAGAAAGAAAAGTGTTGAAGGCGCGGAGAAACACCGTCGGTGGTGGCACAGCTCAACTCCGTCATGCTTTCAGCGCAATATAATACGAAAAATGCATACGTGGGTGTTATTGTTGTTATTACCTGCAATTGTGTATCATAGTATAAGCCCTAAGGCGTTGGTGATTGCCAGCGGTCACTCAAAAGGTCATGTCAGATGATAAAGATCACCAGCAGCTTTCGACAATACCTAATAGCTGCTAGAACTTAAGATGTTTCGACGGCGCTGTAGTTCAATCGGTTGACAAGGTTTGGTCAGATTTGTCCAAACATGTTGAGCTCGGGAGTTTTTTTTTAATTAATTACCTTCAGCGGCCTTCACTATTAGTATTGACCTCAGCAAAATGCGGTATATACCTACCTACTATATAGGTACGTATACTGCTGAAAGTAATTGTTGAGAGCTATCGATTCTTGCCCGTGTCTTCGCACCTTTCTTACTTTTCGGGATGATCGCGTGAGGCAGATAGGAAAATAATAAGATGAAGCAAATCTGCCTGGGGACCCCCCAAGCGGG